GCCTCTGTAAATTAAAATGTAACTTAAGGAAAAAATAAACGAAAAAGTATTTCTTATAATCGTTTTATAGAAAATTGCGCCTTTTTAAAATTGTGTAATTACAAAAAGGGTATCTTTTGGTTTTAAAAAAGTTTTTTAATTGCCGAATAATGTTGAAACCTACTGATTGCTACACTCGAATTCAAGGTTTACAAACTGCGCACATAGTTCACATAGTTCTCATATAATGTTGCAATAGATGTGGAGCATGCTTTATACAGTATAGGAAGCATTAATAAATTGAAGGATACGATATATTATGAATGAACACCTCACAATCGTAAAAAAGCTCACAATTAGAATTCTTTTACCCAAAAGATATCCTTTCTCTAAGTATAAATTTAAAGAAGGCGTAATTTGCTTCCAAACGAGTACAAGAAATAATTTTTTTCGTTTACGTTTTCCATAAAATATATTTGAATTTATAAAAGCAGTCAAAAGCAATGATAAAAACCCATACTATTTAAGTAGTTACTTTTTACAGTGCAGAAGTTTTTTTAGCAGTCAGAAAGAAGCTCGTTAAAAAGTCCGCATCCTATCATGACTGAAATTACTTCAGAATAGTCTACACGATAATCAGTATCACAACCTGTGTCAATGGTGATTAGCGAAAGAGTGTCAATCTTTCGCATATGTCGGCAGGTTGCACGAATTCTGGCGCTTACTGTAAAGTTCGTATTATAGTATATTATTTACTGGCTCTAGTAAGTATGATTACTAGAATTTGTACTCTTAGCATTGGCATATCACTTCTAGCAGCTGTGTCCTAGTCCTTGTGGTCCAAACCTAGTAGCAACTGACACAGCCTTCGTGGATAGAAGTGAGAGGGCGGAAACCTAGGAAACGTTTATTTTTTCGGAATAGCATAAACTCAGATTCGCAGATTCCTATTTAAGATCGAGGGGATATGAGCCCCAGCGTTGACTTAAATCAGCGTCACCTCTGACTAATATTAGCGTTAGTAATAGCATCAGAACTACTTTCATTCATTTGCATCGCTATCAAGTAGTAGTATAAATAGTAGTAGTAGTAGTAGTAGTAGTAGTAGTAGT